GCGCACAGAGGATCTTACCACGAGCAACTGACCAATCGTTGAATGAATAGCAACGTTTACGCCAAATACATGTTTACATTTAACTTCGAACACGTGGTTCAGGTCAATCTACGATCATGTTAATGGACTGCAAAATACAAAAAAGTGTACTTACGAACAAAATACAATGATAAGGAACTTTGAAAGATATTACGGGCGTTTTTAATTTGTTGTTAAATCGAAAAAATGTTTAATAAAATGTAGTTTGTGTCTAGTTCAGAACACCAGCGCTTCAAGGGTAAGGAAAACGAGCAGCATCTGTTATGCATTTAAGGACCCTCTCTACACCAGTGCAAAATAGTTTTGGACACTGAGAAAAATTCATTGCATAAAGGAGTTAATATTGTGCATATCTATCTAATTTTCAATGTATGGTGCGTGGCATTTACCCCCGGGAAAAAGGTTCAAAGGACAACACAGTATCAGTGAATAGATATCGCTGTTAAATACTTCAGTATAGAAAATAGATGTAAATAACACGTTCAGTTAATTTATCCTGGTCTTTTAAAATGTTGAGAATACTTCAATTGATTACAAATTGAGTAATATTGTGTAAATTTCTATTTTTTAGAATTTAGTTCTAAGGGCAGATCACTCTTACTGCATAGAAATACCTTAGAATCAGAACTCTTTAGTGTGTAGTGTAGAGAGGTTTCTTAAATAAACAAAACTTTGGCAATTGTATACACCGATAGTACAACAAAGGAATTAATACAGACGCAAATTGATTTTGCAGTATGACTTTCAGAAACCTAGACTTCCGCCATTTAGTTAACAAATGAATTGTTTGTCATTATGAGCATGAAAATAATATTTTTAAAAATGCTTTTCATTTACCATAAGATTTTCATTTTTTTCAAGCGTAAAATTCCTGTAGTATTCGTAGTAACCCATAATGCAATACTCATTCAGCTGATTGGTCATTTAAAATCATACTGGTGCCTCATTTGCTAATCTGACGCCAAAAAATATAGTTCCCGGTTCCCATGCAAAGGTATTTGTCCAAAAAGAAATTTTAATTCATAACTGCAGAAAATTGTATCATAGAGAATTATTTAAGTTTGAATGAATGTAAAAGAGATCGATTGATTAAAGTAAATTTCTGCAGACATTATCACCTGATTCTAGGGTGGTGAAAACTGAAACGCAACATAACTTTTCTGTTTACCATGCCTCCACGTGCAAGTCACTTCTTAGCCACATTTCCGTGAATAATTTACCCTCTAGCTGAAGTCTCGCTAACTCTCGCCAGAGCCACTGCCAGAGGTATTCTGAACTCATCGGGTTTTATAATTTGCAGAACATCGAAAAAGAAAAGGTTCCGAACACATTAGTAGGGGTGTTGGTTAAATGCAGATGAAGTACGAATCGGCCGAGGTGTGCCGAGTGGTGCTTAATCTAAAAATATGATAATGGGTGACGCAACCCAATGTAATGTAGAAATTTTCCAAAAGGTGTTTACATGTAAACATGTATACCGTAAATCTGGAAATTTTTACGTTGATTTTATTTTGCGAATCTGGCTCAAAATGCTGTTGATTATATTTTTTACGCTTCAAAATTTTGCGAATGACCACTACTTTGTTTACATTTTCTTATTGTTGAATTATTTTTAAGACAAATATTTTTGTGAATGCAATGAATTTGCAAATTTGCTAAAAATATATCTACAGCAAAAATTTCCAGATTTACGGTAGTCCAAGAACAAATTCTAAAATTAATTCATAACAAACTATGTTTTAACATAACTTTTCCATCTTCATGTGTATCCTATTAAAAAAAATTACGGATCGTGAGAGTGTGTGTGCGTGTGTGGTGTTATTTTTTTTTTTTTTTTGGGGGGGGGGGGGGGCATTATTAAATTTAAAAAGGTACCAATTATGAGCAAAACATTTTTTAAAATCCAATTTACACATAGGTGTCTGAACCGGGGGGCTTACCCCCCCTTTTTTTTTTGCAAAGATAGACATTTTCTATGTATTGAAAATTGGGGTTTACCTTTTTTGTTGGTTTAGCCCCCCCTCCCTCCGCACTTTCAATTTCCTTCCGACGCCTATGAAGCATATAAAATATATATAAAGGTGCGGTCACACGATGAGACTTTTCATCCGACTTTCCATCCGATTTTTCAAATCGATTTGCTTTCGACTAAAATCGTACCGTGTGACCACCCAAGTCGAAAGCGAAGTCTGAAAGTCGTTTGGAAATCGGATGGCCGTCAGATTTTCAATCGACTTTCTGAAGAAAATCGTGACGTCACAATGGTATTTCCCGTGACACAAAATTAAAAAAAATGCAGAATATGTCTATAAAATAACAGTTTTTAACTTTTTATACATAAATCCACCTGTGTAATGAAATAAAAAGAAAACCAAAAATCATTGTGTACAAAAGAAAAATTACAGTATATCAAATAAATCATGTATAGTAACTTTCAGCCATAGTTTGCGCGCACGAAGATTCGTGTTTATATCATGCCATAAATGATTTATCACAAATATTTCTTCGGTTATTTCTAAAGATATTAAAAGCATTCAAGTCATGAACATTATAAAAAAATGAGGGCATTTCAATATTAGAATACATAAATTATTTTTAAATCTGATTTATATTAAGATTTTCACGCAATTAAACCTTATGTCGCTATTGATTACTACCAGTATCTACAAAAAATAGCAATTATATAGTAGAAACCGAGCGACAACTGCATTCTGTAACCGAAATTCTAAATTCTAGAAAATTTAAGTTAACTTTTTTGAATAAATTAACAAATTAATTTTATAATTCTTAAATAAGTTACTAATCTCTTGGCAAATACTTTAATTAGAAGACATACAATGTATTACATGTAAAGTAAAGTATTTGATCGTATTATTAGTATATGCGTCAGTACCGGGTAGGGGGTTAGCCCCCCTCCCCCCACTTTTTTTTTCAAAGATAGACATAGTATAGGCATTGAACATTGAGGCGTTGGTTTCGCCCCCCCCCTCCACTTTCAACCGAAAAATTGCATTTTAGGTTTTTAAAAAAAGGCCCCGTGTTTGTAAAAAAAAAAAGGGGTACTGAAATAATTTCGACCCCCATCCCCTACGAAATAGGATTTTCGTGTTTGGATAATGGACATTTTTTTGCTTGTCAAACTTTTTGTAGGTTTTATTAAACCCCCCCCCCCTTTCAATTTGCTTCCGATGTCAATGATTGGGGGGGGGGGGTAGGGGAACTGCTATCTCTCTTACATATTTTTCCACAATAATCAGTAGTTATTTCCTTTAAACATTTTAATATTCACACATGTAGTTAATTTACATACTATCAGTAGAATTTATATTTTTTATCTATATAATAAAGAAAATAGTCTATCCTTGAAGTAAATACAAAAGATTAATTTTGTTCCGGTTTTATCAACTCTTGAAGAGCGTCTGATAAACTGTTTCTCCCATCTTCATTCATACTTTATCATGAACGGCCAGCTATCACACAAAGTTAACTTTTGTAGAAAAAATATACTAGTAGTGCAGACTCTTTTTTTTGCCGAAGTAGAAAGTATTAATAAACTTTCACCATCTAGTTTTGAGTGATCACTGTGTACTGTGTAAACTACGTCAAAATCAACGTCATAATGGGGAAAATGACGTAATATTAAATTGAGGAGTATTTTTTTTTTTAAATTAAAAACAGAACAGAGACAAGTCTCTGAACAGAATTACTTCCATCTAAAAAAAATTGAAATAACAAGTACCTGTTCATTTCTTGCTAAAATCGTTTGTAAATCGAACGTAAAATCTGATCGTGTGACCACCCCACCAATCGACTCCATTCGACTTACCTGAGCAAGTCGAAAATCATCGTGTGACCGCACCTTTTTTTCAATTTGAATACCTTGAACAAGTCTTAAACTTACTAAAACACCCATAAAAGACATATCTTTGCAGGTTAATTTTCATACAACATGTCTCAGCGCAATATCGCCAAAATTGAACATAAAAACGTGTGATATCATATTTCTTTTAGTTATGCACCAAATCACATCAAATTGATGTTAAAACTTATGAAGATCAAAAATATTCATTTGCCAAGAGAATATTTGAAATCTTTACTGCAAAACATTAACAAATTGGTGTTGAATCTGTCCATGTCTTTCAGAAAAAAAATCTCAAAATATCTTAATTTTTTTCATTCTAAAAATCCAAAATGTTTAGATGCCATTTTTTCTTTAAAACTATTAAGAATTGTATCTAGTGTTAACAAAAACAGCTACTTTATTATGGTTGACCAGAGAATTTTAACAAAACAGTCTTTTGAAAACGTATACCCCCTTTTTTGGAATATCAATTTTTTCAATTATTCAATGCAAAATTTTTAAAAAGTAAAAATTAAATGGATGATACAGGCTCTAAATCAATAAAAATAGATCTCAGGTTAGTTTGCTTAAAAGAAAATTGAAAAAAAGATTTACATGTAGGTCCATAACAGCAATTAAGAATTTTGTGTCTGTGTATGTATTGAATGACATATAGATCTTAAAAGTGTTACTTTCCATAAGTAATGTATATTAAATGCTTCATATGTACAATAACACTATAATAAACAAATATATACTTGTAAATCATTTTCAAATTTTATATCAATAGAAAAGTGAAAATCAGAATTTTATTTGATGTGTAAAATTAGACTTTGTGGGCCTTCCTTAACAGAAATCATAGGTCACACAGTGGTCTGAGAATGTTATACTCAATGTGACGAATACATGTACTGTGTAAATTATAGTGACTTTTCCTTGGAAGGCTATAATATGTATTTAGAGGCAAACACCTTAGTGCGGGTATTACTGTCTCATGACAGCATCTAGTTTGTTAAATGTGTACATCTTTATCAGTTATCTTCGCTAACAAATGCTTTCCTTAGAAAGCCTGTTGATTTAATTAGAAGAAGAAATTAGAAAGATATATATATAAACAGACCTTCCACTTCTGTTGATGATCATTTCCGTCCCAACTTTCAAAAACTTGTACCATAGCTTTGCTTCGGTCATCGACAACGTTATGGGTCCATTCATAAGTGGAATGCAGTTTTCTTTTTCATCAATGTCATCTCTGGACCTTCCAGCGTCCGACAACGAACTCTGCCTGTCAGAATAACCGGATGAACTACTTGACGTTGGATATGGTTGACATACATCCATATCAGAAGACTGGAATTTATTTCTGATGACGACGACTCGTTAGATGATGCAGGAGAGGAGGATGTATTCGATAAATCTCTTTTAACTGAATCTTTCTCTTCATCATTCCAAGTTTCCTTTTCGTTTTGTTCGTCCTTGTTTTGGGGGTTACCTTTATCAGCCTCCATAGCTAAGAAAGAAATAAAAGGAAAATGAAAGTAGTCAACACACTAAAAGTGCTCGAACTCATTTCTGTTAAACGAAAATGATTGTAAATATATCTAAATCACGAACAACTAGAAACACTGTTTGGCCAGACTTTTACTGTGAATATGGCTAACTGACCCCTGAATACACTTGGTAGGATCAACCCCTGTTGATCTGTCACACGTTTTTGTACTTGTCAGGCAAAATGGGTCTTCTACTTTCTAAATTGATTAAAGAAAACAGTGCTTAATGCACATTTTAATTTCAACGTGTTTTGCAAACAAGATTTTAAATCAACCATAATTTTTTTTTTAATTTTGATTTTACGAGATTGTTGAAAGTTTTGTTAGTAGCCAAAATTACATAAGTAGACTTTCATATGCAACAAATACTATATGCCACAGCAAAACGATCTATGGTTCTTTCAGATGTATCCCCTTGTGTAAAAACAAGTTCACAGGGACCCGCCAGAGAGATAAAAACTTTCATAGTCATAATCACATAATTTGATCGCAGAAATATGGCTGAAATACCATATAGCGGGTATATTTATCAGGGTGCTTGCTTTGGCGGTTTTGTAGTATTCCGTTAAAATTTTAATCGCCAAATTTACACCTTCATTATCACTACTGAATACATGAAAAATGAAATGAACGAACATCAATCAGTCTTTTGAGAAAGCAATGTAACTTGCACGTGGTAATGTATTTACTCAGACTTTTGTGAACATCGGTTTTCAAACGTATATTAAACGTACTGAAACTAATCTAAAAGATTAATTTTATCTGTTTTGCTAAAATAATTGGCATACCTTTGAGCGAGCAAAACGCCAAAGTTTACACCCGCTAAGTCGGGGTTAAACAATTATTATTAATGAATCAAAGCCATCTTTAAAATTAATGTTTGCTCGTCCCGACTCGGAGTAAAATTATTGAGTCGCAAAGTACGCGGGAATTTTTTTCAGAAAATTTTAAATTATTTGTTGATATTATTTAGAACGAAACCAACTTATTCAGCCAATCAAATGCTTCCATTTTTCTTGAAGAATTATTGATTCTTCATGATGAGGAATTCTTCTATGTAATAGTAAGATCATATGAAGAGAAATCTTCGTCATGAAGAATGGGCGAAGCGGAGCCCATTCTTCATGACGAAGATTTCTTTTCATATTATCTTACTGACTTAGAACAGAACCTCAGCCAATCAAATGAATGGATTAAAAATAAACTCCTCCCACGGCTGTGTCATATATAATGCTCAACTTTACCGCTCGTTGTACATATCGAGCACGCAATCAATGTTGAACACACGCGGTTTCAGAATGGACTCCAACCCATTCAGGTTAGCACGGCATTATATGAAATAGCTTGATTTACTGGGGAAATGGTATGGTGAAGATATTAAAGCTACTGAACTAATGAATATCCTTTTAACAAGAATCGTAATATTTTTGAAAAATGATTGTGTTAAGATGACAAGGCCCTAGTCAGCAGGAGTGGGTATCGCTGTCTAGGGTTAAATAAAAATTTGATGGAAATTATTACTTAAATCTGTCTTCAAAGATAAGGTTCGTCTCTGATATAGATGACGATAGTTGTGTTTTCTGTATGTACCGAAATGTGAAAAAAAAATATTCAAAAGGCGACAAAATATGGAAAATAAAAGTGAAGCAAGACCTAGAAAGTTTAAATATAACTGTAAACAGCACGTGGATTTTGAATAGTTTCTTTCTGGGTGCTGGACAAAAGTCAGTGAAGACACTTCCATATAAATGTCAAGTGAACCAATCAGACACCGTTGAATATTTCAGAAATAGAAGTCTTCACCATGAATAATCAACATTCTTCGCGAGAAATGGAAGAAATGGAAGCATTTGCTTAGCTGAATAAGTAGGTTATGTTCTAAACGAAATTAAACCCAACATTTCAAATTTCGAAAACAAATTAACAATTTTATATAGAGAAGAGAACACTATTAAAGAGACCGTAGCGGTTTTAGAACAAAGTGTCAAAGTGATGTCGAAGCAAATAGAGGAGCGAGGAATAGACGAGAACATTACAAGTGTACATACAGAATTAAAACAAATCAAAAACGCGAATGAAAGTCTACATGAAGAAAAGTTGCTTTTGCAAACGCAAATGATGAAAAATAAATCTATTTGGAATCGAGGAGCTCGGACTGGAAAGAACAGAGGATTGTATACAAACGGTGAAGATCTTTTGCGCGGAGAAGCTAGAAATTGAGGAGGTTCGAATCGAAAACGCATATGGTACAGGAAAAACGAGACCAATTATTGCTACCTTTAAAATCTAAAAGGAAAAAGAGGCGGTACAAAGTTGATGCTATGTAATAGTAAGATCATATTAAGAGAATTCTTCATCATGATGAATGAGCGGAGCGGAGCCCTTTCTTCGTGACGAAGATTTCTCTTAATATGATCTTACTGACTGCTCAACTTGATCGCTTGATCTACTGGGGAAATGGTGTGGTGAAGCACAGGAGTCTGAAGTTTTTATCGTCAAAAAAAAAAAAAAAATCCGGAAAAAAAATTTCCCACGCTCAGCTAAAAAAAACCAGGACGGCAACGTGTTTTTTCGGGAGACCCATCTAAACAAATAGATCTGGGCTTGGACAGAAAAAAACCAGTATCCGGAGTGTTTGTGTTATTTATTCAAGTAGAAAAATCCAATCTATTTGACGACTACGGGCCGTTTCTGGCCATTTTTGACAGCTCATCCTGGACTCCACTAAACCGGAAGTGAATTGAAGAAAAGAAACAAAAACAAATTGCATGTAAAACTTCATGTACAATATTATATTACCGTATCTAATCAATAAACAAGAGGCCCACGGGCCTTATAGGTCACCTGAGTATCATATAACAACTTTCCAGCAATTGTATTTGGTTCGTGTTTTAAGCCAAAAGCCATGAAATTCACGAATTTTGAAAGAGGCACCATTGCTTATCAAAGGGCAGATTTCAAAGCATTAATTTATTTTTAGTCAAAGTACCCCCTTGGTACCCCTGACCCAGCAGCCCTGAAATTATCTATTTTGAAAGAGGACCCTTTCTTCATTATAAGGCCAGCATTTTTTTTATGTTTAGGTTTAGTTATGAACATGAGAATAAAAAAGTCCCAAAGGAAAAGGAAATAAATTTTTTTGATAAATCAATTATTAACATTTGTACATTCTTTTTTATGCTATCCTAATAGGCTCCTTACCACTGGACACATAATGCTTACAAATAGGAAAGTAGAACATTTAATTGCTTATTTCATCATCTGCCAGTTTGGGCCAGTTATATAAATTTTGTGATGTTGATCAAAATATATTTTAAAAAATCAATTCTTTAAAAGTCTTTCAATACATCAATATGTGTTAGGTGAATGTGTAGACATTGTTCTAAAATTTACTTGATGCCTAAAATTATAATTCCTATCATAAAACAGACAGGAGGTATTGGGGAGTAGGGTCAACATTTTTTCAATTAAGTGTAAAATAATTTTTCTGGCTGATACAAATGATACTACATGCCTGTATATATTTGTATATTCTTGCCTTTTAATAGATGGATTTTTTTTATTTCTTCACTTCAGGATTGTTTATTTCTTCCTCAAATGGACTTCACTTCTCCCATAGTTTTATTCATTACATCTGATGCATAAGCAACCATTTTCTGAAGAATGATGCTTAGACTGTAAGCTATAACAGAGACCTAAACAATGACCCTGGCAATATGCAATAGCTACCACGGGCAGTTTAAAACCTGGGGGAGGAAAATAATTTACAGTTACTTTTGAAACGAATACATAATTATCTCACCAGCATGTCGTTGTGCAACAAAGTCGTCAGCATTTTATTTGTCCTTAGAACGGGTGAAACGTTTTGAATGGCACTCTTATCGATGAATTTTACACTAAACCATGCTAAATTCTTGGATGTAGCTTTTTTACCCGCCGTTTCATCTAAAAACCGGAAGTGCGAGTTCGTAAATTTGAAATCTCATCCCGTCAAATTTGACATAGGAAAGAAAAAATTTTTTATTTTTTTCTAAAAGTTCAAAACCTTGAGCGGAGGGTTTGTAAAACTGAAAATGAAATAAATCCTGGACTTATATATGTAATTAGATCATTAGCATATTAACCAAGAGCAAAGGATAAGATGTTCAAAGAATTCATACATTTCACTATTAGAGCCCCACCCTAAAACAAGAACCCCTGACCCTGGGGCCATAAAATTCACAATTTTGGTAGAGGCACTCTTGCTTATCATAACTATGTACTTAGTTAGTTTATTTAATACCCAGGAGCAGAGAACAAGATTTTCAAAGAATTAATGTATTTTCACTATATAGCCAATAGAGCCCCGCCCTAACACCAGAACCCCTGACCCTGGGGCCATAAAATTCACAATTTTGGTAGAGGCACTCTTGCTCATCATAACTATGTACTTAGTTGGTTTATTTAATACCCAGGAGCAGAGAAGAAGATTTTCAAAGAAATAATGCATTTTTACTACCTACTTATTTAGCCCCGCCCTAGCACTAGAACCCCTGACCCTGGGGCCATGAATTTCACAATTTTGGTAGAGGACTCATTGCTGATTACAATCATGCAAACAGTTTGACTGCTTGATGTCCAGGAGTAAAGAAGAAGATTTTTAAAGATTGCACTAATTTTAGTGGTTTTGGCCCCACCCCTCAGGCCCCAATGGGGCAGGGATCATGAAATTCACAATTTTTGTTCCCCTTCACCCATAGATGCTTTGTACCAAATTTGGTTGAAATTGGTTCAGTGGTTGTAGAGAAGAAGCTGAAAATGTTCAAATGTTAACGCACGACGAACGACGACGGACGAAAACAGATAGCAATAGGTCACCTGAGTTTACTCAGGTGACCTAAAAACAATTATTTTTGATACAAAATAATGCCTGATAAGGTCGTTAAGTCTAGCTGTTTGGTTCTTTGTCGAGGTGGTTT